TTTTTTCCATTTCTTAGTTTATTCTTCAAGTGCTTGACTAAGTTTTTCAAACTCACATAACAATCTCATTAAGAGCAACAGATCCTCAGGTCACCCCTGAAAACAAGCATATATAATCCACTTCCACTTGACCAATTATCAATTGTTTTTGATAAGTGATCGATATTAATATAAAGCCTGGAAACAGTGCATGGACCCAGCTGTGTGGACACATTTCCTAATCCTAGGATTGTCAGGTTCCTCTTATGTACAATGGAGATGGTGGCAATCCTTTCTCACTGAGCTCTGACAGAGACTGAATGAAACAGCTCAGGGAAACTGACTTCTCTGAGACCAGGAGGATGGGAGCTCATTCGCTAGTGGTTCAGGGACTGACTGATGACTTTCCTGACAGAGTTCTTGCAGAAGATGAATGTGCCGGTCAGCTTCATTCGGGAAATTGAGATACAGGACAAGACAATCAATAACAGATTTCAAGTATTTTTGATCTCGCTGGATTTAAACAGATTTAACTTCTCTCTGTCTCTGAGTGATATGACGTAAGTTGGTGCTTCTTTGATTTCAGAAAAGGGACTACCCCTCTAGGGAGGCCAGTACAATGTCAAAGACCAATGAATAAGCCTTGTCTCATCCACAGAGCTGAGGAGTTCCAAGACAAGGCACATTAGTGCTTTAGTAAGTTTGAGGCAGAGCTACAGATCTAGTTAGGACAGTTCACACATCTGTTTTTCTAAAATCTGTAATTTTAGGCTTAAGGCAAATATTCCATTTGTCCCCATCTCCACCTGCATCGTGGTATCTAAAGTCTTTCTCTAAGAATAATATTTTCTTTCTTCTAATTTAGCCAGAAGTAAAAGTCCAAGTTCCTTCGAGGGACAGGAAACTGGAATCCACACCCCATTAGTCCCAGGCAGTGGCTTTCTAGAATCTTGAGTCACACAGCCCTGGGTTCAAGTTCTGGATCTTCTGCCTATTGTTTCCCTTTCTCTGTGACTGTCCTTGAGAATGTAGAGGCTCACATTTTTGAACAGGATCTAGAGATGACAGGAGGGTGGTGCGGAGACTTGAAAATACTGCAGGGGCAATGACTAGAGAGTACTTGTGGTTTGGGCCAGAATTCGAGTCGAGGAACTGAGAACCCAGAACTTGCAAGCTGGCCTGTCTTCCAATGGCAACGACACAGAGATGAAGATGTCCCTGGCTGTGGATGCTTCTGTGCTTATGTGAGTAGATGTCACTTGGATTTAGAGGGTGCAGTGACCTGAGTATTTTGAGTAGGCACTTCATTCCCAGGTAATCCATGACCTCTGCCCTCCGTTTCCTAATCTGTAAAAGTGGAGACCCTCTGAGGCCTAAAAACCCTATATTTAAAGTATTCTAATGAAAACAGGCCACATTAAATCTCTTTCAAAAGAATGTCCTATGCAACATACTTCTCTGTGTGTGTTGCATGTGTGTATACAGACTCATATATGTATTCACAAATTATGGCAGAGGTCAAGGCAAACATCAGGAATCTGCCTCAATCATTTGCCACATTAATATTTGAGATATGGTTTCTAATAGAAACTAGAACTCAAAGATTATGGAGAGACTAGATAAACAAGTAAAATAAAATTAAAAAATTTTAATTTAAAAAGAGAGATAAGGAAATGACCAAGTCAAGAACCTATGGGACTGGGGGTATATTTCATGGAGAGCACTTGTCCAGTACATGTTAGAGCCTGGCTTCTATAATCAGCAGTGGGAGGCATAAGGCCTGTATAAAGTCCATGCACTTAAGAAACCATGAGCTCTGAGGTCTTGGGGTACTTACTTAACCTCTCTATGCCCAGTTCTCCTCACTCTGAAAAGAGTGTGATTTATCTCCTAGCACTGTTGTAATGACTAAATGGATTAAACCACGTATAACACTTGAAATGAACACAGGTGATTTGTGTCACAAATGTTAGCAATTATCCTAATTCTTAGTCTAATGCCAAGTAAAAAGCTCACATGTGCTGAACATGCATGACCTAGAGAACTCTAATACAAATGCGTACATTTTGTGGCAAATATGTAACATGTTGACATTACCCAGATGTTACTGACAATGCCTTTAGACACACGTCATTGCATCCACTCAGAAGATGAAAACCAGGGCAGTCTGCAAAACCTTCTAGTCCTGTGTTCAGTGTGACTTTTATTTCTGCAGGCCTGATGATAATCCCAGGGACAACACCACCATTGCCTTGGAACTCAAATGTTCATTAAGGGTTGAAAGAGACAGCCAGAACAGCCTGCCCTATGTGACCATGTGGAAATGCTCAAATGAAACAAGGAAGGACATCTCTGATTCATCAGGCAGGTAAGACTCATCCATCCCAGCAGACTGGGCTCTCAGGGAGGCTTTAGGACCCGACTTTAATCCTGTTCCCACACCTGGGAAGCAGCATGGTGGAACACACAGTCAGACAACACTAAAGGATCAACTCTGTCTCTACTGTCAGCACTGTCACTCTGCAGCTTTTGAGGCCTCAGTTTCCACATCTGTGCATTAGAACAGTAGAGACCCGGACTTCTCAGCTTCTGGGATGAAGACATGAGAAAAGACACATGTTTAGCTGAGAGCCTGGAACATGCTAAGGGCTCAAGAGCCATGAAATCCACACCGAGTCTATGTACTGTTCCGTTACATTGCTGAGGCAGGAGGATGGACCTTTCCAGCCATAATCATGCATTTGCTTACAATATCTTTCACCTGGGTCAATGTGCCTTGTGCATCTGAGGATGTTAACATTTATATCCACCCTGAGGTGAAAATTATTTGCTGCCATGGGCCCTAGTTGCATGAATTACTCTCTACCCTCTGCAAAATTCTACAGTGAGATCTTGCCATAGTAATTCTGACATTTCCTATGACTGATCTCTGTTGATCTGCAAAATCTGCATCTTTAATTGAATGCTTAGAAAAGAATGTTTGCCTCAGGCACAAGGTGAGGACTGGTGATGCTACCAGTGTCTGGGAGAGGAAACATCACCTGCTAGCCTAGCTCTGGGGCTGGGCAACCTTGGTCAGGAATGCAGGGATGGCCTCTGTATCCAGTCTTGATAACCATGCCCTGAGGTCACCCATGCTCCCTCTACCAAAAATCTGACCTCAAATCAAAGACAGGACCACAGTTTTGTTGGCATGTAATAAAAGACCTGGGTCCTGCTGGACAATGCCCTACCAAGCAAAACCAGGAAACTCATGTTGCTCCTCTGGGTTTGAATCCCTATGACCATGAAGACTCTCATGGACACTCTCCTTTCACCTTCCTTTAAACACATTGTCTTAAGGTTTGTGCCTTAGAGAAACATTTTCCTTAGACAGGACCTTGGCATGGAAGTTTTGTTTATGTGAAACATCTCTCTCCTTACTCAAACTCACTGAATCTGTTCACCTTTCAGGGCTGTTACTAGCTTTCTTCTCTTTTTCTTATAAGAATAACCTCTTGTCCTTCAGAGCACTTGTCTCTGTTGTCATTGTGTGCACACACATTTTGTGTCAGGGTCTCACTATACAGCTCTGGTTAGCTTCAATCTCAGAGAGCTACCTGCCTCTGTTTCCTGCATGGTAGGGTCATAGTTGGGGGACACAAGACCAAATGTCACACTGTCTATTTAACTGGACCTTTTCTGTAAGGAAGGAATGGGTGTGTGTGTGGGCACACATGCACAAGTGTCATTGCCTGGAGCTCTCCAAGTAGGCTAAGCCAGCTGAGGAGTCTCCCCATCTCTGTCTTCACTGCTCTGGATTACATGTGTTTGCTCTCACCTGGCTTTTCTTTCTTTCCTACTTAATAAGATCCTAGGGATGGAACTGGGTCCTCGTGCCTACCAGGAAAATAATGTGTGGACAGAGATATGTCCCTGGCCCCCTTTACTAATTCTGCTAGTCAAATATCTGCTATGTGATTTGGCAGGCATTGTACTCAGCTCACAGAATGACTTAGTGAATACACACAGGTTCTCTGTCTTTTTAAACATATCCTGAGGACAAAGTAGGCAGGGGAGTCTTTGGTTTATCAGTGAATTCAAGGGAAATGAGGAGCCCTACACAGACCATCATACTTAGCAGAACACAAGGACAGCAAACCCTCCATTCAGGGCACATTCAGGATGGGAACCTCAGGGGATAACAACTGGATGAGAGTTGAAGGGGAGGAGACAACCTCAGTGAGACTTGTGTATGAAGGAAGTTAAAGGTTGAAATTTTTTTGCCAGGTGCCCAAGGCTCATCCTGGTGCTGTGTAGTTAGGGGCTGAGTGAATGGTGCTGTGTCAGGGCTGTGATGGACACCCAGGCACTGAGGAGGCAGCTACTTAGACATGAGCTGCTCAGATGCTCAGTGATGGTCCATACTGACATGGGCCACTGGGCAACAAAAATGAGACCATGGAGCAGAGATGTGGCTCACCTGACCTCCAGAGGACTCTCAGTCGTGCTGAAATATTAACCAAGCTTTGTAAGTCCCTTCTTTTGCAGACAAAACGCCATGGTGGACAGCATCATAGACAGAGTATCTAAGTCCTTGACAGACAGAGTGGCCCCTGTGATGGAAAAACAGGTGAGTCCTCCAGGAGCTCTTGGTACCTAGAGCCTGTTACAGGCAGGAGAGGTATCTGTAGGTGTGGCTGTGTGCTCAGAACACTGTCTCCTGTGAGGTGCAGATTTCTATTTGGGAGGTCTGTGGGCACCTACTCCTCCTCCATAGCTGGGCTGCAGAGAGAGGAGGCAGAAATCACAGATGATGCCTTGAGCTGTTACCACATCCATCACCACCTGTGCCCTTTAAGCTAATGTTTCATGTAATTGTAATCGACACACTTTTATTAAATGACTGTTGAAGCACCTGTGAATGAGAAGCTAGAGGAAACTGGGAATTGGAGCTTCCCATACGCTTAAGCCTTCTGAGGGGCTTGAATTTACAGGGTTCAGGAATTCAAGGTTTAAGGAGAATGGGGTGTTAAGGTTCTGGATGCTAGATCTCCAGATCCTGAACTTCTGACATCCTGAGGTGGTGGGTACTCAGCAGCCTGGGACAGCTGTGATTCAGGCTGCTATAATTCCATAGTTCCAGGTTGCTAAGGTTAACTGTTCTTAGGTCCTGGAAATGAGCCCCCCTGTCTGGGGAGGGTGGAAAGTGTGTTGTCAGCAAAGTCTCATCTGTTTTCCTCCTGCCTCCCCCTCCTCCTTTTCTACCTTCTCTTTGTCTCTCAGATATTTCGACTGAGTGATTTTCTTTTCAAACTGATGAGTCAGGCCATCATCTGTAAGTCACACCCTGGGGACTGGAGAGCCTTCCATGGGCCAAGACCACAGCTGTGGGAGGGACCCATGCAGGGACCTTGCATCCTGACCAAGGCGGCCTTTTAGTTTCTCCTCCCCTCCCTGGAGGCCTCTTTTGATCCCTTTGCTCCCCATGATTGACAAGGTAGCTGGGGAGACAGACCTTGGAGGTGACCCTTCTATGGAAATGTCCCTTTACACAGTACTGCTGTGTCTTGCACACACTACCTCATTGGATCCCCAAGAGAGTCTGCACAGAGGGTATTGTCCTTGCTCACCTTGAGGTGAACAGTGACAATCCTGAGGTGATATAATTGTCACAGAACAGGCTGGAGGGAGGTAACAAGTTGGAAGGGTTCTCCGTTCAATTTTCCATGGCAAAGACTGAGGCTGATCTTGACTTGGTTCCTTCAGCTGATCTACTGATGGAAGAAAACCAGTCTCCATCTGAAGAGGAAGGAGCAGATGGAGGAATGTCATGACTTGATGCTGGTTTAATGTCCTTGTTACTTTTCTATTGCTGTGACAGAACAACATGACCTAGGGAAATTATAAAATAAAACACTTAATATGGATATCACAATTCCAGGGGGTTAGACCATCAATGGTGTGGAGCATGGCAGCAGGCAGGCAGGTCTGGCACTGGAGCAGTAGCTGAGAGCTTATACCTGGAGATACAACTACCAGACAGTGAGATTGGGAAGAACATGGCTTTTGAAGAAACCTCAGACCCTATCCCTAGTGACACACATCCACTCACAAAGCCACACCTCCTAACCCTTTGGAAGTAGCTTTCTAACCTGGGGAACAAATATTCCAATATATGAGCCTATGTTCGCAGTTCTCATTAAACCCCACAAGTAGACACTGCAGCTTGTCACAGCAGCCCATCAGGAAGCCAAGGCCAGGCTTAGGCTTCTGTCACAAGACCAGAGAAACTCAGACATGATCATGAATCCAGGCTGAACTCTGACATTGAGTGTACATCCTGAACCCTGAGCCTGGATCATGACCCCAGTTTGATCCTCAAACATTTTACAAGAAGTTAGTGACTGAGCTCTAACTTTGTGCAGAGACACTTGACTGTGTGCTGAATTAGCACCCTGACTTGGGCATGGCCTCTACTCAATCGTTCCCCATCTTCCACTGCTCCAGAAGAAGGGATGAGGAGGGGTTTGAGTCAAGTGCCATATCTAGACCACAAATCCACAGCTGCCTCTCTTTTCTCCATGGCTTCAGCCATTTTGAGCATTGGGCAATGAGTGAAGACAGCAGGGCCAGGCCAGTTCGTGTCCAATCATTGTCTGTGAAAGCCAGCTCCCACTGTGGCTGTGACAGCCAGTGTTCTGAAGTCCTGTGTTCTCATTCCAGTTGATGCCCTATGGCTTCATCTGACTTCCTGTGGCATTTCTCTCCTGAAAGTGAGGCCACCATCCACACAAGATCTGCCTGAGCCCACCTGTAGGACCCTCCCTGACTCTCCTTCCCTCAGTGGTCTCCACACCTGTTATCATCACCCCATCATTAGAATCCTAACTGCACCCTGGTGTGTGGCTTGTTCTTGCAATAGAAGTTGTTGGCAGGGTGTGGGGAATGTGTGGAGTGAGATGGCAACTGAATGGCTGAGGCAGATGCAGAGCTGGAAGGGCCATCAGGGCACACCTTACAGCTCTCCTTATGCATGGAGTTGCAGAAGCCTGGAGACGATAGCCACACAGTCACTGTAACTGTACAGGACCCCGACCATCCAACCACACATGCAAAAGTACATATTGGCTACTTAGATACGACACCCAGGAAGTGAACAGGGTCATGCTGAGAGACAACCTCACCCAGAGCTTTGCCATGACACCTCAATGGTCCTGAGGCCTGGTGCAGAAGGAGGACCACCCTCTTCTCTGAGACCCAGGACAGACTCAATGGCTTCTGGAGATTTTCAATGAGAAATTCATCCCACCACCCTTATAGCCCAGCCTTTGTCGCAAACAGAAAGTACTTTACATTCTAAAAGACTTCCCAGACACAGAGAGGCTTGTTCTTTCCAATGTGATCTCAGACCTGAGATGGCCTGTGAGAGCCCAACCTCTCCCTTTGTGTTTCCTATATAACGTAATTGCACACATTACTGTCCCCGTGTGCACAGCCTGCCCAGTGTGAGGACAGTGCTGTGTAACGTAACTGCAGACATTACTGTCCCCGTGTGCACAGCCTGCCCAGTGTGAGGACAGTGCTGTGTAATGTAACTGCAGACATTACTGTCCCCGTGTGCACAGCCTGCCCAGTGTGAGGACATTCACATGTGTTTCCCACCTGTTTTCATGCACATGGATAGCAGGGAGGTGAGGAGCACTTTCCAGTCTCACTTCACAGAGAAGAAAGTCGCTCCATGCTAGGCCATGCAGCAGCAGTGGTAAAAGTGAGGATTTGAACTCATTTCCTCCCATTCCCAGGAACAGGCTCTGACCAGAACACTCCAGTTCCCCTCATCACCCTCCTGGTGCACCACACACTCCCTTCTTCATCATGCAAAGAACATCCAGGCACAAGGAGTTAGTTAACTTATTTAGCAGCTAAGGCAACTGAGGTCATCACTTCCAAATCCAGCACTCCCAGGCTGTGTTCCTGGGGTATGAAAACCCCTCTTAACCAGATTTCATCATGACCTTTGGCTCTGTGCCCATACCTGGGAACAGGGCTTTCATGGGTTTGTAGAACACAGTGGCAGGCAAACAGTTAGAGAGTCTGCATACAGAAGCCAGGCTTGGCAAGGCCACAGTGGGCTCTGACTTCCTGAGCTCCCAGAATGACAAGGTCATAGCACCCTTTGCTATGGCACCCTCACTTTGAGGACAGGCTCCCAGGGCTTGTTAAGCTTCACTCAAGCTCCCACCTGTTTCTGTGGGAGCCCATCAAACACCACACGGGCCCAGGGCTTGGAGACCAATTCAAATGATGGGCCCCCTGGAAGAAACAGATGGACAACCCTCGGGACAGCCTTGCCCTGCAGGCTGGCCTCAACCTGATATAGGTGGAAGGACCCAAGCACTGGGTTCCTACCCTGTGTGACCTTGGTAGTGATAGGCCTCTGAAAATCCTGTTTCTTTCACTGGAAAATTAGGTGTTGAAACCACCTTCCTGACAATTAACAGGCTCAGAAAAGAAGAATATCAAACCTGCTAGTTCAGACAGCAGCAAATGGCTGCATCTTCCCTCAGGGTGGACAAGTATTGCTCACTGCTGCCCCCAGGAGGTTGTGTCCTGGAACAGCTGCTCCTATATTTAGTCAGGGTACAAGTCCTCTGTACAATTTCATCACAGCAAAGCCCCTTCCTGTATGAATCTCCTTCAAGGACACTGGGACATAGAAAAAGAGGAAGCAAGACAGCTCCTGGTGGCAAAAAGAAGACAATGGGCATTGCCAGTTGTCTATTTATAGAACCATGTGCTTCCTCAGTCAAAACTATGTCGAGCTGCACACATGAGGCATAGGGTTTGGAGATAGAGTTGGGTCACTGAAATTTAGAGTGTGGTAAGCTTGCCAAACATGAGATGGAGGGTATCTGTCACTCCTATAGTCCAGCTGTTTCTTTCCCTAACATCTTGGAGGCAAGAAACCACATTTAAACAGAGTCTAATATCTATATAGCCTAAGAAACATTGTTCTTTTATTTTTGTTTTTATTCATTATTCTGTGATTGTATGTGTACAATGTTCATATCTGAATACAGGTACATGTATCACCATGTGCCTGATAAGGTCAGAGGATAACTTTCAAGAATTCTTCCCACCTTCCACCTTTCTGTGAGCTCTGGAGAGCAAACATGGGTCATTAGCCTAGTCTCAAGAAGAGACACAGGCTATGTTGCAAGAAATTTGATTACACTGTAGAGAGATAGGTCATTGTGATTTGTTTATTAAAAAAATAAATGTTCAATAGCTACATAGATGGAATAGGTGGGACTTACAGACAGAGAGAGCTCTGGAAGAAGCAAGCAGTGGTCACAGACAGAAGCAGAGAAACAGGACATGCAAGAAGAGAGGTAAAAGCCATGAGCCACATGACAGCATGTAAATTAATAGAGATGAGTTGATTTAGTTGTAAGAGCAAGTTAGAAACAAGACTAAGCTAAGGCCAAGCTTTCATAATAAGCTTCTGAGTCATGATTTGGGGGCTGGAAGTCCAAAAGAGGCTACTACACATGGCACCCAATGTGGGGCTTGAATATCCAAATGTAGTGTCTGAGAAAGCTAAGGAAGGATCTGGATAAGGGGCTGAATGTAGCTTCCTAGTCCTGCAATATTTCAGTGCTTGGCAACATACAGAACCATGGATACCAGCTGCTGCCTGAAGGCTGGAGCCAGCTGCCATCATAGTGCACTAAGCTGAGCCATGCAGCAGCTGACATGGCAGGTTACAGCTCATCTCCCACAGTCAGACAACGCTGCAGGTGCGCAGTAAAGACAAGTCCAGATGGAGAAAAACCTCAAAACAGGTTACAATGTGTTTAAAAATGTGTGTGCACAGGTATAAAAAAGAAAAGAAAATGTGTATAGATAGTCATAAAATATAGTTCACAAAAAATAAGATAAAATGTCTTAAAGAATAGAAACAAAAAAGTATAAGCCACATAAAGATGGAAAATATGCAGACCGTTTGGATCCTATGTGGTGTCTTGTTGACCTGGAACTTTTTATTGCTAATGAGTAAATTGCAGCTGCAGAGAGACAAGGCACTGTGAGAGGAACTGCTGAATTAAAAGAGCCTTGATACTTTAGGAATGCCTCAACTTTAAAATGGAATTAAAAAATGTATTGCATTGGAGAAGAAGTGATGCTTTTGTTTCCAAAGGAAATGAAATCTACCCAGTGTGAAGACTGGGGTACTTAATATATTTGCAGACATTACTGTTGGCCGTGTGCACAGCCTGCCCAGAGTGGGGACATTCACATGTGTTTCCTACCTGTTTTCTCTGCACATGGATAGCAGGGAGGTGAGGTGCAGTTTCCAGTCTCACTTCACAGAGAGGAAAGAAACCCCATCCCAGGTCATGCAGGTAGCTGTGGGAGGAATAAGCACTTGAACCCAGATGCTCCCATTTCCAGTGAAAGGCTCTGAAAAGAACATAACAATTCACCTCCGCACCACCCTCATGATGCCCCAGGCTCTTCCCTGTCCATCATGCCAGGGATATCCTGAAGCAAGGTGTTTTTAATCTGTTTAGCAGCCAAAGGAACTAGGGCCTGGTCCAGCTACTGAGGCCTGAGGTCACCACCTCCAACACCAGGGGTGTGAAAAACCCCTCTTAACAAGATTTCAGCATGGCCCTTGGCTCTGTGCCCCATAGCTGGGAACAGGGTTTTCATGGGTTTGTAGAACATGGTGGCAGGCAGCCAGGAAGAAGGTTTGCATTTAGAAGCAAGCCTTGGAAAGGCCATAGCAGGCTCTGACCACCTAAGTGCCCAAAATTGCAATCTCATACTGTCCTTTGCTATGGTCACCTGATGGTAAGGACAGGCCCTAAGAGCCTGCTAAATAGCAGTGACCCAACTCTGTGCTGTCCCAGCCCAAGGGCCAGCTTCTTCCTGTTTCTGTGCTGTTCTGGATTTACATGGGCCCAGGGCTCAGTGACCAATTGAAACAATAGGGTCCTGTGGGAAACAGGATGTACAGGCCTAGAGATAATCCTGCCATGTCAGCTGGTCTCAACCTTATGTAGGTGGAGGTACCCAAGCACTGGGTTTCTAACTCTGCGTGACCTTGACAGCTGTGGGTCTGTCAGAAACCTGTTTCTTCTGCTGGAAAATGAGGCTCTCAAACCTGCCTCCTGACAGCTGACATGCTCAATATAGTGTGTCTGACCTGAAGGCTATACAGGAGGCAAATGCCTACATCTACCATCAGGCTGGATGCATAATGTTCACTGCTGCCCTCAGGAGGCTGTGTGCTGGAACAGCTGCTCCCATGGTCAGTGTGGGAATAGACTCAGGCTTTTCTTCTCATAAACCCCCTTCTTTATGAACTTCCTTCATGGTCACTGGGAGATAGAACAAGATGAAGCAGGACAGCTTCTGAGTGCAAATAAAGGACACTGGTCATTTCAAACTGTCTGCTTACTGGGGCTTTCGGTTCTGCAGTTCACACTGTGAAGAGCTGTACACGAGCCATGGGAACTTGACAATGAGCTTGGGAGCTGAAATTCAGAGTGGAATGAGCTCATCAAATGGGAGATGGCAGTCATCTGTCAGTCCTGTAGTCCAACTCTTTCTGTCTATGACATTCT